TTTATGACTAATTTGTGGAATGGAAGTGGATTACCTTGAAAAAAATCTTAGGAAAATGTTGTTTTCAACTTTTAACTTAGTTTGAGTCAGACATGTCCAGTCTTCATTTATGAAATATAAAATTACATGAATTAAAAAGGAAGATAGACCTTTTCCAGCATCAAAGCAGTGAATTTATTGTATCACAAAAAGGTAGAAGAAAAAGTATTACCTGAAATCTTTTCTAGGTAACATTCACTATTAACATTTCTGAGTGCCATTTTATTGTAATATTTTTATTAGTTGTGATTATACTTTATGTTCAATTTCTTTTGCTATTTTTGGTTAACGTTGTAGCATGAACTGTTTTTCATATTGTAGTTGAACTTTTTTGAATTATTTTTAATTGTTGGTATGATACTGTATGACTTGTATTGTGCCTGTTAGCCGTTATTGTGCATTTTAGCTATTTATAGTTTTTTTTTTTTGGCTATTGCAGATAAGTCATAGATCAACATCTGTGATTAAAATTATTACTTAGAATTATTTTCTCTGTATAAATAAAAAGAGGCAGAATTATTCAAGATGGGATCAAAGGCTTATTGTCAAATTGTTTTCTAAATACTTGTATTACCATTGGCCATTTTTGAGAGTGTCTCATAGCACCTTGTTCTACAATGAGTAGTCTTTTTTTCCCCCTTATTTGATAGGTTAAAAAAAGGTATCACATTTAACACTTTTTATAGCATTTAGTAAGTTATACTGTCATGTTTATTTCTTCATGTATTTACTTTTTAAATGAAAATGTTCACAGTTTTTTTCAGGTTTCTGTAAGGGAACCAGAGCAAAGTAATGTGTTTTGCATTGCCTTATTTATTTATTTTTGGTTAGCACAAAAACATTAATCTGTTAACCAAAGGAATGGTCCTAATTTTCTTTTATTGAAGTATAGCTGAGTTATAATATTATATTAGTTTCAGGTGTATAGCATACTGATTAAGAATATTTTATTGCATATATATTCCCTATAAAGTTACTATAAAATATTGGCTATATTCCCTTTCTGTACAATATATCCTTGTAACTTATTTATTTTACACATACTAGTTTTACCTCTTAATCCCCATCCCTATTTTGCCCTTCCCCGTGCCCTCTCCTTGCTAGTAACCACTAGTTTGTTCTCTATACTGTTAAGTCTGTTTCTTTTTGTTATATTCATTTATTTTATTTTTTGGATCCCACACATGATATTTGTGTCTCTGACTTACTTCATTAAGCATAATACTCTCCAAGTCCATCCATGTTTTTGCAAAAGGCAAATTTTCATTCTTTATGGCTGAGAAGTATTCCATTGCATATACATATACATATATATATATATATATATATATATATACACACACACACACATATATACACATTCTTTATTCATTTGTTGTTGGAAATTAGGTTACTTCCATTTTCTTGGCTGTTGTGAAAAATGCTGCTCTGTACTTTGGGGTACATAAATCTTTTCAAATCAGCATTTTCATTTTCTTTAGATACTTGCTCAGGACTGGAATTGCTGTATGATATGGTAGTTCTGTTTTTAGTTTCCTGCAGAACCTCCATGCTGTTTTTTTTTAATAGTGGCTGAACCAATTTACAATCCCACCAACAGTGTACAAGGGCACCCTTTTTCCCACATCTTTGTCAGCATTTGTTGTTTGTGTTACTTTTGATGATAGTCATTCTGACAGGTGCAATGCGACATCTCATTGTTTTTTTTTCCATTTAATTGCAGTATAGTTGTTTTACAATGTTATGCAAGTTTCTGGTGTACAGAAAAGTGATTCAGTTACACATATATGTATCTAAACTTTTTTGTATTCTTTTCCATTATGGTTTGTTATAGGATATTGAATATAGTTCCCTGTGCTATTACAGTAGGACCTTGTAGTTTATGTTATATACAGTAGCTTGTTTCTGCTAATCCCAAACTCCTAATTTATCCCTCCCCTACCCCCTTTCCCCTTTTGGTAACCATAATTTTTTTTTCTATATCTGTGAGTCAGTTTCTGTTTTTAAAATAAGTTCATTTGTGACTTTTTTTTTTAGAGTCCCCACATAAGTGATACTATAGGGTATTTTTCTCTCTCTGGCTTATTTCACTTAGTATGATAATCCCTGGGTCTGTCCATGTTGCTGCAAATGGCATTATTTCATTCTATTTTTATGGCTGAGTAGTATTCCATTGTGTGTATATACCACAGCTTCTTTATCCATTCAGCTGTCAGTGGACATTTAGGTTGCATCCATGTCTTGGCTACTGTAAATAGGGCAGCTGTGAACTTTGGGGTGCATGTATCTTTTTGAATTAGCATTCCCTCCAGATATATGCTCAGGAGTGGGCATGCTGGTTCATGCGGCAAGTCTATTTTTAGTTTTTTTAGGAACCTCCGTACTGTTTTCCACAGTGACTGCATCAGTTTACATTCCCACCAAGAGTATAGGAGGGTTCCCTTTTCTCCACACCCTCTCCAGCAGTTGTTATTTGTAAACTTTTGAATGATGGCCATTCTGACTGGTGTGAGGTGGTCCCTCATTGTAGTTCTGATTTGCATTTATCTGTGAATTAGTGATATTGAGCATCTTTTCATGTGTCTGTTGGCCATCTATATTTCTTCTTTGGAGAAATGTCTGTTTAGGTCTTCTGCCCATGTTTTGATTGGGTTCTTCACTGTGGTTTTGATTTGCATTTTTTTTGATTAATGATGTTGAGCATATTTTCATGTGCCTGTTGGCCCCCTGTATATCTTCTTTAGAAAAATATCTGTTTGGGTTTTCTACCCATTTTTTGATCTTTTTTTTTTTTAGATACTGAGTTGCATGAGCTGTTTATAAATTTTGGATATTAACCTTTTATGAGTCATATCATTTGCAAATATTTTCCCTCATTCTGTATGTTGCCATTTCGTTTTGTTGATGGTTTCCTTTGCTCTATAAAAGCCTTTAAGTTTAATTAGGTCCTATTTGTTTATTTTTGCTTTTGTTTCCTTTGCCTTAGGACACAGATCAAAAAAAAATTGCTATAATTTGTGTCAAACAATATACTACCTATGTTTTCTTCTAGGAGTTTTATGGTTTCTGGCCTTACATCTAGGTCTTTAGTCCATTTCACATTTATTTTTATATATGATATGAAAAAATGTTCTAATTTCATTCTTTTACGTATAGCTGTCCAATTTTCCTAGTACCAGTTTTTGAAGAGCCTGTCTTTTCTGTATTGTATATTGTTGCCTCCTTTGTGATAGATTAATTGACCATAAGCACTTGGATTTATTTCTTGGCTGTCTATTCTGTTCCATTGATCGGTATGTCTGTTTTTTTGTGTGTGTGCCAGTACCTTACTGTTTGATTGCTGTAGCTTTGCAGTATAGTCTGAAATCAGAGATTGTGATGCCTCTGGCTCTGTTCTTCTTTCTCAGGGTTGCTTTGGCTATTTTGATTCTTTTGGGTTTCCACACAAATTTTAGAATTATTTTTTCTAGTTCTGTGAAAAATTCCATTGGTATTTTGATAGGGATTTCATTGAATCTGTAGATTGCTTTGGGTTGTATGATCATTTTAACAAATGTAAAGTTTTCCAGTCCACGAACATGGTATATCTTGCCATTTGCTTGTGTTGTCTTCAGTTTCATCAGTGTCTTATAGTTTTCTGAGTACAAATATTTTACCTCCTTATTTAGATTTATTCCTGGTATTTTATTCTTTTTGATGCGATGGTAAATGGTATTGTTTTCTTAATTTCTCTTTCTGATATTTCTTTGTTATTGTACAGAAATGTGACAGATTACTGTATATTGCTTTTGTATCCTGCAACTTTACAAAATTGATAAACTCTAGTAGTTTTTTTGGTGGTGTCTTTAGCATTTTCTATGTAGGGATGATTTTGATTAAAGCCCACAGTTGGAAATAGTTGCATGTTAAATGTTTGTGATAGATAATTGAACACAGTAATGAGAAAAAGTATTGTGAAGATTTGCTCATCCAGCTGAGCTTGTTTAACAGCTAATTCCTCTTTAAAGTGTTGTTGGAATTTTTATACCTTTTCATAGATCCTCATACAGGTGACATTGTTTATAACACATTCTATCATTAATTTCCTACCTTCCGCTTTTCTTATTGAACTTTACTTCTCTTATGATTCCTGGTGTTGAACCAATGCAACTTTGTTAAGTTGAAGACAGTCTGAGTTTTTCTCACATCAGCTGTAGTTTTTTAAAACTTCTCTTCCAGTTTACAAGAAAACTGTTTTCAAGATGCTCTCAGTTTTTACAGTGAGAGTTTTGCTGTCAGAAGTGATGACATAATCTTGCTTGGCCATTGCACCCATTTTTCACAGTGCCAGTCTCACGCCTGCTTCCTTCATATACTCCTCAAAGCTTTTACTCTTCCTTCATATATTCAAGAAAGCCATTTTTTACTAGCTACTGAATGGTAGCCATGGTTGGCCTTGGGAACAGGGTCTAATGTAGGAAGCAGGGCACCTGATTCTGAGAGATGTGCTTTGCTTATTAATCCCTTGTCACCCCTGGCTCCCATTCCCCTGAACCAGGAGGTGCAGACTTGCTCCATCCACGAATCCTCAGGCACTTCCTGCAATCTAAATAACTTTATTACTCACATAATATGCTAATTAAAATTAATTATACCTCCTTTAGGCTTTTAAATTAAATTACTAGAATATTGTAGATAAAGCTTAAGTCCCATTTGAACTATTTCTTGATCTATCTATATTGGTTCATATGGCTCTGCTTCATTCATTTAACTGCTGTATAGTATTCTATCATGTGAGTATATAATCTGTCCATCCTGCTTTTTTTAGATAATTAGGTTATTTCCAAATTTTCTCTAATAGAAGCAGTACTGCAGTTTGTACATATCTTTGTTTATAGCTTTAGTGACCAGACATGGCACCAATTTTCTTTTAATATTTGCGTGATATATCACAGGTCTTTTTAAAAATTTGCCATTTTAACAATTTCAAAGTCTACAAATCAGTGACATTAAGTACACTGGCAGTCCTGTGTAACCATCATCACTCTCCATTCCAGAACTTTTTCATCATCTTCAAGACAGAACCTGTTCCCATTAAACAGTAACTCTACATTCCCTCCCTTCTCCAGCCCTCTAGTCTGCTTTTTGTCTGTATGAATTTGACTACCCTAAGACCCTCATCTAAGTGGTATTGTACTATATTTGTCCTTTTGTTGTGTCTGACTTATTTTACTTACCATAATGTTTTCATAGTTGATCTGTGGTATAGCACGTATCAGAATTTCATTCCTTTTTAGGGAATATCATTTCTTTTATTCCATGTGTATGCTGTATTTTATTTATCAATTCATCTGTTGATGGACAGAAAGGTGGAAATAAACCTTTTTGGCTCTTGTGAATAATGCTAGTATGAACGTTGATGGTGTAACTATCTATTTGGGTCCCAGCTTTCATTTCTTTTGAATATCTACTTAGAAGTAGAATTACTGGATCTTATGGTAATGTTATGTTTCTCTTTCTGAAGTACTGCTGTACTGTTTTTTCACAGTGAATTCATCATTTGATATTCCTACCAGCATCACGCACAGGGTTCCAGATTCTTCACATCCTCACCAACACTTGTCCTTTTCCTTTTCTTTTATTATTTTTTTGGGATAATAGCCTCCTAACAGGTGTGAAGTGTTACCCCATTGTGGTTTTGATTTGTATTTCCCTAATGACTAGTGATGTAGAGCATCTTTTTGTGTATTTATTGGATTTTTGTATGTCTTCTTTGGAGAAATATCTATTCAAATCCTTTGTCCATTTTTGAATTTGGTTATTTGGATTTTTGTTGTTGAGTTGTAGGATTTATTTACACATTCTGGATATCAGTACCATTTCAGATATATGATTTGGAAATATTTTCTCCCATTTTGTGGGTCATCTTTTCACTCTCTTGATAGCGTCCTTTGATGCAGAAAAGTGTTTCATTTTGATGAAATCTGGTTTATTGTTTTATTTTGTTGCCTGTGCTTTTGGTGTCATTCAAGAAAGCATCACCAGTTACAATGTCATGAAGGTTCCTCCTCTGTTTTCTTTTAAGAGTTTAATAGTTTTAGCCACTATGTTTAGGTCTTTGATGAATTTTGAGTTAGTTTTTCTATGTGGAGTCAGACAAGGATCCACTTCATTATTTTGCATGTGTATATCCAGTTTTCCCAGCACCACTTGTTGAAAAGACTGTTCCTTCCCCATTGACTGTTGTTGACAGCCCTGTTGAAAATCAATGACCATATATATGCAAGGATTTATTTCTGGGTTTTCTATTCTATTGGTCTATATGTTTATCCATATGCCAGCACCAACACTATTTTGATTATTTTAGCTCTGCAATTAGTTTTATTAATTGAAGTATAATTGACTTACAATATTGTGTTAGTTTTAAGTGTACAACAAAGTGATTCAGTTGTATATATATGTTTTCAGTTAAATATATATCAGATTATTTTCCATTATAAGTTATTACAAGATACTGAATATAGTTCTCTGTGTTAGACAGTAAATCCTTGTTTCTTATGCAGTTAGTTTTGAAATAAAGAACTGTGAATTGTTTACTTTTGTTCTTTTTCACAGTTGTTTTGGCTATTCAGAATTCCTTAAGGTTTCCTCATGAATTTTAGTATGGGTTTTTCTGTTTATGCAAAAAAGCTGTTGGGATTTTGGTAGGGGTTGAATTGAATTTGTAGATCACTTTGAATAGTATTGTCATCTTAACAATATTAACTCTTCCAACTCATGCACATGGGGCATTTTCCCATTTATTTATGTCTTTAATTTCTTTCAGCAGTGAAAATACTGCTGTTTTGCAGTTTTTCATGCATAAAGCCTTTCACCTCCTTGGTTAAACTTACTCCTAAATATTTGATTCTTCTTTATGCTATTGTAAATGGAATTGTTTTCTTAATTTCCTTTTTGGAGTGTTCATTGTTAGTGATAGAAATGCAGCTGATTTTTGTATGTTAATTTTATGTCCACTAACTACTGAATTCGTTTACTAATTGTCTCAGAATTTTCTTTTGATTATCTTTAACGTTTTCTACATATAAGATGTGATCTGTGGACAGAGACAATTTTACTCTTCCTTTTCAGTTTTTAAACAATCATGAAGTGAACAGAAATTTAAAATTAATTACCAATGATTTTTCTAAAGACCATTTTTGGTCAATATACTCATGATCATGTACCCAAATCTCAGAGGTTCTTTATGGTCCATTGCTAGGCCTTAAAGACAGCAACACATCTATAGCAGTAGGTAGATGACTGGGTGAAAATGAAAAATAGTTTTGTAAGATGTTACCACTGTGGAAAACTGGGTAAGAGATACACGGGATCTTTGCTTGTGAACCTACACTTATCTCAAAATGAAAAGTTTAAAAAAGAAGACTAGTTCCCCTATGTATATATTTCTCCAAAATAATATTACAAAGAGGTGAAGCACTAATAATTTTTGGAACTCCACAATTCTTCGTGGAAAAAAAGTAGTAAAACATTCAAGGCAAAGAACATGGCCCATAGTTAAAAACACTTACAGTAGGACTCAAAACTTCTTTGAAATCCAGTCATTCATGATATGGTTAGCTTACATTAGGAATTTAGATTTTTTTTTTGATCAACTTGAAGATACGCAGATCAGATCTCGCTGGTCATTTGCATCAAGCCCATGTTGTAATTGTGTGTCTGTGATCATGAAGGCTGAACATAATCTTCTTCAATGGAGATTTTTAACCATTCTTAAAGGTCATTTTTAGAACTTTTACCTAGGACCCAGAGTTAAGTAATGTATAGTACTGCTTGAGTCAGCTTCACATTTCAATAGAGGGAGGAAGAAATTGACAACCATGGCTGGAATTTATAAAAATAATTTGTAATAGTTCACAATTATGAAACTGATAAGCTAATGTGTGCAGTTTTGCCTTAAGAAAAGATTCTTCAGTTTACAAAAGGACTGATAAGTGCTGCCTTTTAAACAGTTCATTTGGTGTGCTTAAAATACCATTTTCACAAATAAGATTCAATTCGAAGGACCATCTCCAAAGTATGACTAGAATGGTGAGGCAGATTTTAAAGGCTGACATCAGAGCTTTTATAAATGAATGAATGTTTCCCTTCTAAATAGTCACTTTTGGAGGCCATACTGATACCAATGATGATGTTATTCCTGAGGACATTTTGAGAACGCTCTTTTTGTAACCAATTAGAAGGCATGCAAGAAAATAGGTCTTCAGACATACTTTGGATTTTGGCAAAAGCTAATTTTAACTCACCTGATAATTTTTCATTATTCACTGTATTTGGCTTTAAATGATATTTGGCCATTTCCAAAACTCACATCTGCCCTTAAAGAGAAGATTTCTCAAATTAATGGGCAGAGTTTTTTAGGTATTAATCCTTTTTTCACCACTGAACTTCTAGCTCGTCTTAAAATTTATATTATACAAACATGTTTATGCCTAAAAATGCTGTCCTTGACAGAACAAAAAAGTTCTTTGGATTGTATTATCTTGTTATTTTTGCATATGTTGGTACTGTTATTGGGCTTCACTGACTTACCCATAGTCCTGACCTTGTTCAGGTACAGCATGAATTCATGTGATTACTGGCTTTGTGGTTGGATTTCTGTGAATTCTAGGAATGAATGGGATAATCACCATTATGCTGTTTTGCTGTACTCCTTTCATTTCTAAAGAGCAAGTTTTTCATCCTTTGGTAATCTATTGATAGGACAAGATATAGAATGACATAGTCCATTATTATTTTTAACTTTTGGTTATCAGGAATTTTGTGTGCCATGGGTTGACATGTTGCATCTTCTCCTCTGGTTTCATTCTGTAGTTGAAGATTAAGGACACTGAGGGACTTGATGATTCAGTTTTTTTGTACACTTGACTTTTTTCCAACGGAAGGTCATGGCAAAAATTAGAAACCATACCCTCTTGGTACCTGTATTGCAGAATCACGTTTATTTCAATATTTTGTAAAACAACCCTTTCCACCAGAACAAGCAAAATCCCGCACAAGATCTTTACTTGCAGTATGCTTATTATATCTCATTTCTTTTTCCTTCCCTGGATATCTTGAGTTCTTCCTAACCAAACATAGGAAAATGATACAGCGGGGACACTGGACTTGGGGCCCAGCACCCTGATTGAATTCGGGTGGTGTCTGACCCATAAAGGCCTGACAGATGTTACTTGATTCAGTGTTTTAATGTGCAGTCTGTTGATTATTAATGAGGTTGAAGTATTTTCTCTTTCAGTTTTTTGTTACCCAGTTGTATTCCCTTTTTTAAAACATTATGGTTTCTGTTCATTTATCTACTAGGAATTGAGTATTTTTTAATATAATAAGAATGTTTATCTCTATTTTCAGGTTAGTTTGCCTATTAAATTTTGGTTATGGATTTTTTGGAGGTGAATGCACAAGTTCTTATGTAAATAGGTATATACATTCTTGAATTCCTTCCTCTAGTTTGCATTTTTTACTGAGATAAAATTCACATAAAATAAAATTCACCATTTAAACCATTTTAGTATATATAGTTCAGTTAAAAATATTTGGTAAGTTCACAATATAGTACAACTGTCACCACTTTCTAATTTTAGAATATTTTCATTGCCCCAGAAAGATAACTCATACCTCCCAATTCCCCCCTTCCTCCATTCCCTGGCAGCCACTAATCTACTTTCTGCCTCTGTGGATTTGCCTACTTTTGACATTTTACATATATAAATGGAATAATATGTAAGATTTTGTGTCTGTCTTTAGCATAATGCTTCCAAGGTTTGTCCATGTTTTAGTATGGATGAATATTTCAGTCCTTTTTATTGAGGTATAATATTCCATTGTTCATTCATTAGTTGATGACATTTGGGTACTTTCCACTTTTTGGCTATTATGAATATATTTGGCTGCTGTGCTGTGAACATTTTTGTACTTTTTTTTGTGTGTGGTTATGTTTTCCTTCTCTTGGGAATATACCTAGGAGTGGAATTACTGGGTCATTTGGTAACTATGTTTTAACTTTTTGGATTACTACTGAACTTTTTCCTAGTCACTGCACCATTTTACATTCCCACCAGGAATGTAGGTGGGTTTCAGTTTCTTTTTTTTTTTAAACTGACATATAGTCACTTTACAATGTGTCAACTTCTGGTGTATAGCATAATGTTTCATTCATACATATAAATACATATTATTTGTTTTCATATTCTTTTTCATTATAGGTTACTACAAGATATTGAATATAGTTCCCTGTGCTATACTGAAGAAATTTGTTGTTTATCTGTTTTATATATGGTAGTTAGTATCTGCAAATCTCGAACTCCCAATTTATCCCTTCCCAAACCCTTTTCCCCCAGTAACCATAGTTTGTTTTCTGGGTCTTTGAGTCTGTTTCTCTTTTGTAAGTAAGTTCATTTGTGTCTTTTTTTTTTTTTTAGATTCCACATATGAGTGATATACTGTGATATTTTTCTTTCTCTTTCTGGCTTGCTTAACTTAGAATGACGATCTCCGGATCCATCAGTGTTGCTGCAAGTGGCGTTATTTTATTCTTTTTAATGCCTAATAGTATTCCATTGTATAAATATAGTGGGTTCCAATTTCTTTACATGCTTGCCAACCCTTATTTTTGTTTTAAAAATTATTACTGTATCCATTCTAATGAGTGTAAGGTAGTATCTCATTGTGGTTTTGATTTATATTTTGTTCTAATAACTAATAATCTTCAGCATTTTTTTCAAGGACTTACTTGCCATTTGTATGTATCTTCTTTGGAGAAATATAAATCTAAATTCTTTCACTATTTTTAAATTGAGTTTGCCTTTTTACTATTTAGTTGTAAGAATTCTTTATATTATTTAAAGTATATATATTATATAAAGAATACTTATGCTTGTTTAGAAATATGATTTGAAAATAGCTTTCTCCAATTGTGTGGATTGTTGCTTTACTTTTTAAAAAATTTTCATTGACGTATAGTTGATTTACAATGTTGTGTTAGTTTCAGATGTATAGCAAATAATTTAGTTACATATATTCTTTTTGGATTCTTTTCTATTATAGGTTATTATAGTATATTGAATGTAGTTCCCTGTGCTATGCCATTGATCCTTGTTGTTTATCTGTTTTATATATAGTAGTGTGTATCTGTTAATCCAAAACCTCTAATTTATCCCTCCCCGCCCCTTGTCTCTTCACTTTCTTGGTGGTATCTTTTGACATACAAAGTTTTGAATTTCAATGAAGTCAATTTTCTTTTTCCTTCTTTTAAGTTTAGGAAATCTTTTATTATTAGAACTGATCTGTGTGTTTTTTTCCTGCATTTTAAACTTTTAACTTTTTATAACCCTGTTGGATTACAGATAATACCTATATACATAACTTAATAGGATATGATATAATAATTTAGTTACATAAATATTTCCCTGGAAAACTGTGAGATCTTCTAAGTCCTGTTCTACTCTATTCATCTTAATGTTTGTCATTTATACAATTACTGTGTTCTAAGCAGAAAAAAGTAATACACAAAAAAACTGCTGAAGGCTTCTGAAGAGTGCTAAAGAAATATATTTGATAAATTACTGAATTATTATTTTAAATGATATAAATTAGTATTTAACTTGAATTATATTTTGATTGTAGATAAGTGTACAGGTAGATAGTGTTACTCATATTTTCATAGCCTAGGTAAAATAAAGAAAATACATTTTCTTTAATTTGTATTTTGAATATGCATTCTTTCAGACTACTTACACTGTAGTTATATTTTTAGTTTATTAAACTTTATATTTACTTCAATATATGACAGCTAACTAAGGAAATTCTTAAAATTTTTGTCTTGACAGTGAAAGCAAGTTGAATACATTGGTGCAGAAGCTTCATGACTTCCTGGCACATTCATCAGAAGAATCTGAAGAAACGAGTTCTCCTCCAAGACTTGTGATGAACCAAAGCACAGGTAAATTAAAAATAATGTGCAATATCTTCTAGTCTATTTTCCATTTATTTTTTGGGGGAGCAGCTATTAAAGTCTTTAATAGCCCCTATGTAATCTAGTTTTTAGATAATAACTGATATTGGATATTTTAATTTAAAAATGTAAGGTTGTATTTTGGTCAGCTAATCTTTGACAAAGGAGGCAAGAATATACAATGGAGAAAAGATGGTCTTTTCAGCAAATGGTGTTGGAAAACTGGACAGCAGCATGTAAATCAGTGAAGCTAGAACACTCCCTTACACGATACACAAAAATAAACTCAAAATGGACCAACGACTTAAACATAAGACAAGATACAATAAACCTCCTAGAAGAAAATATAGGCAAAACATTATCTTACATACATCTCAAAAATGATCTACTAGGAGAATAGATAAACAAGATTATACTGTATAGCACAGGGAAATATACACAAGATCTTATGGTAGCTCACAGAGAAAAAAATGTGACAATGAATATATATATGTTCATGTATGACTGAAAAATTGTACTCTACACAGGAATTTGACACAACATTGTAAAATGATTATAAATCAATAAAATGTTAAAAAAATGATCTACTAGGGCAGTCTACACAAGTAATAGAAATAAAAGCAAGAATAAACAAATGGGACCTAATTAAACTTACAAACTTCTGCACAGCAAAGGAAACCATAAGTAAAACAAAAAGACAACCTACGGAATGGGAGAAAATTTTTGCCAGTGAAACTGACAAAGGCTTGATCTCCAGAATATATAAGTAGCTCATACAGCTTGACAAGAAAGAAACAAACAACCCAATCCAAAAATGGACAGAAGACCTAAACAAGCATTTCTCCAAGGAAGAAATACAGATGATCAATAGGCACATGAAAAAATGTTCAGTATCACTAATTATCAGAGAAATGCAAATCAAAACTATGATGAGGTTATCACCTCACACCAGTCAGACTAACCATCATTCACAGGTTCACAAACGACAAATGCTGGAGAGGCTATGGAGAAAAGGGAACCCTCCTACGCTGCTGGTGGGAATGCAGTTTGGTGTAGCCACTGTGGAAAACAGTATGGAGATTCCTCAAAAGACTAGGAATAGACTTACCATATGACCCAGTCATCCCGCTCCTGGGCATATATCCAAGAAGGAACCCTACTTCTAAAGGACACCCGCACCCCAGTGTTCACAGCAGCCCTGTTTACAATAGCCAAGACATGGAAACAGCCTAAATGCCCATCAACGGATGACTGGATAAAGAAGATGTGGTCTATTTATACAATGGAATACTCTTGAGCCATAAAAACTGACAACATAACGCCATTTGCAGCAACATGGATATTCCTGGAGAATGTCATTCTAAGTGAAGTAAGCCAGAAAGAAAAAGAAAAATACCATATGAGATCTCTCATATGTGGAATAAAAAAAAACAAATAAACAAAGCATAAATACAAAACAGAAACAGACTCATAGACATAGAATAGAAACTTGCGGTTGCGAAGGGGGAGGGGAGTGGGAAGGGACAGGCTGGGATTTCAAAATGTAGACTAGATAAACAAGATTATACTGTATATCACAGGGAAATATATACAAGATCTTGAGGTAGCTCACAGCAAAAAAAAATGTGACAATGAATATATGTATGTTCATGTATAACTGCAAAATTGTGCTCTACACTGGAATTTGACACAACATTGTAAAATGACTATAACTCAATAAAAAATGTTAAAAAAAAGTAAGGTTGTATAGTTATAGGTGCTTAGAGAAGCATACACTTATGGTTTTATGTGTAATGGAGATGTATTATAGTTGGGGGGTGATGAATGTTGACTGTTTAAAATAGTCTTAGAAGAGGTGGGAACAGTACAGAAATATATTATCCTAGAAGTTATTCATGTATTTCTTTTATTGAAGTACCGTCAGTTACAATGTGTCAATTTCTTATGTACAGCACAGTGTCCCATTCATGCATATACATGCATATGTTTGTTTTCATATTTTTTCCTTAAAACTTACTACAAGATATTGAATATAGTTCCCTGCACTATACAACAGAAACTTTTTTTTCTAATCTGTTTTTATATATAGTGGCTAACATTTGTAAATCTCAAACTACCAAATTTATTCCTTCCCACCCTCTTTCCCTGGTAACCATAAGATTCTTTACTATGTCTGTGAGTCTCTCTTTGTTTTGTAGATGAGTTCATAGTGTTTTTTTCCTTTTTCCTTTTTTTTTTAGATTCTACATATAAGTGATATATGGTATTTTTCTTTCTGACTTACTTAACTTAAAATGATGATCTCTAGGTCCATCCATGTTGCTGCAAATGGCATCATTTTATTCTTTTTTATGGCTGAGTAGTAATCTATTGTATAAATATACCACAACTTCTTTATCCAGTCATATGTTGATGGACATTTAGGTTGGTTCCATGTTTTGGTTGTTGTATATAGTGCTGCTGTGAACATTGGGATGCATGTATCTTTTCGAATTAGAGGTCCCTCTGGATATATAGCTAGAAGTGGGACTGCTGGATCATATGATAAGTCTATTTTTATTTTGAGGAATCTCCATACTGTTTTCCATAATAGCTGCACCAAACTACATTCCCACCAACAGTGGAGGAGGGTTCCCTTTTCTCCACACCCTCTCCAGCATTTATCATTTGTGGACTTTTGAATGATGGCCCTTCTAACTGGTGTGAGGTGATACCTCATTGTAGTTTTGATTTGCATTTCTCTTATAATTAGTGATATTGAACATTTTTTCACATGCCTATTAGTCATTCATATGTCTTCTTTGGAGAATTGCTTGTTTAGGTCTTCTGCCCATTTTTGGATTTTTTTATTATTATTATGTCGTATGAGCTGCTTATATATTGTGGAGATCAAGCCTTTGTCGGTTTCATCATTTGTAAAAATTTTTTCCCATTCCATAGGTTGTCTTTTTGTTTTGCTTACGGTTTTCTTTTCTGTGTAAAGCTTGTAAGTTTAATTAGGTCCCATCTGTTTATTTTTGCTCTTATTTCTATTTCCTGGTTAGACTTCTGTAGGAGAACACTGCTAAGATACATGTCATTGAATG